TAACTGGACTAACTTTTGTCTAAGTGCATATGTCTCACTTACTCAGTTTTGGATGGTAAGACAAGATTACATGTTTCCTTGATTATATTCCGAGCATACATTTCCATCACAGATCGAGTCATTCCAGATTTTTTAAGAAACTTTTTTATACAGGTAAACATTATCATTTATTATTTATGTAATGTTTTATTGGTTTTAGATGTCCTTAATGCATTGCATTGTTTTTCTGATTCAATGTACTTAAGAGGGGAAATGAAATGCCCTTATCCACAAACGTACAAACAAAAACAAACTATCTCCTCATGCTTTCAAAGTTAAATTTTTTCCCGGTAATTGCAGCAAATGGAAAGACGCAAATTTTAGTCACCTTTTCAGCTACGATTTCGTTCAACTTATTTCCCTGCTGGATAAAAAATTGGGAATGAATTCGACTGAACTGGTTTGTCATAATTTTAAGCCTTTAAGAGGCTCTTTCGTGATAGAAACTCGAAAGTTTTTCGACAACAAATGTTTTCTTTCCTTTTTTAAAAGCCTAAGGTACTTACAGAAAAAAAAGACGATGTATCTATATTTTAAACATTTTTCGATTAAATTTTAATTGTTAAATAATTTGAGAGAAAATAAGTAAAAATCAAGTGTAACTGGCTAATGATCCAATTTTCAACTTTGGAATATATGTCTTTTGATTATTCGAATCATGTTCCCAACTATGATGTCGATTAATCGGACCGTAAAACTTGCAATACATTTTCCATTAAATGCTTAACTATCCAGAAAACTCGCCTGGTTTTGCAAATATTTGTATTTTTTACCACCCCCCTTAAAACTGTATGTTACACCCAGTAATTGGTTACGCTGTATCTGGGAAAAATGATTTCGACCTTGGCTTTATGCTAGTCAGATCTGCAGACCTTCTCGGCGAAATTGTATCTTTTGCACGTGTAGCTAGAGGGTGAATCTTTCCTTTGTTATTTCCCCATTTGCCCTGCTTGGAACTTTCATTTCGATCTGCGGCAATGGTCGTGAGGTGGGATGAGGGTTCGTACGGAGGAGAACCACATGGAACGAATGAATCACGGGAACACTTGTAAAGCGTTGGATAGGAGATGGATCTTCTAAGAGTCGCTTTAAGTCCCTGGTCAACTTTTCCGGCGGTTTCAGGGGAAGCGGATGTTGTCAATATCGAGCGGGTTTTTTCCCCATTGCGTGCTGATAGCTGTATTGATACATTATTGCTTAACTCGTTTTTCTTAGAGGATTGAGTCGCGTCAACGGATTGTCGAATATTCGTTGATGTTTTCATTCCCAACAACTCTTTAACGGTGTTTCGAAAACGACGATCTCTGTAGAAGTACAAGACAGGAGTTAAGATAGAGTTCAACTGCACAAATACCTCTGATAATCGGAAAGCGGAGTTCATGCGAAATGCGGGGAAAAAGTTACCCAACGTGGCAATGACGATCGAAGGAACAAACGAAACAATAAGTCCAGCTGTTAATAAACCAGTTGTTTTTGCAACTTTAGATTCGAGTTTTGCTTTCATCATGATAGTAACCTGGCTAGTTTGGTTCTGCTTTTGCTTCCGTACTCCGAGGAACACCATGATGTAAAAATATGCAATTGCAAACAAACAAATCATGACCAGAATGTTTTCAAGTGCAAGCCATCGATCGAGAACTATTCGGTCTACACCAGCGATGATCATCGCAACGGTTGGAACCTGCTTGAGGATTGCCAACAGCCAAGCGGTGGCTCCGAGCTTTTGAAGAAGAAGTTTGGTTACTTTGTTCCTGTAGTCCTTCCAACATTTTATGGCCATGTATCTCTCCCATGCAATTGCAGTTAAGTGATACAAAGATGAGATGGACATTGTGAATAGCAAGAGTTTGTTTACCAAGGAATCGAACGTGCACACATGCTTTACTGAAACCCGAGTAAGCATTAGAACATCGACGATGGCTGACATTGGCATTGTTACAGCTCCTGTTATGAGATCAGTGACGGCCATACTGCATAGCAAAATGTTGGAGAATTTTTGCAGTTCTCTGTTTTTCCTCAGAGCGACGATTACCAAAATGTTTAGAAGAGTGGTGACAGGGGCAGCAGTGAATATTATGACATCTAAAATCCATGGTAGCGTTGTATCGGTCAAATCCCAGGTGAGGTATGGAGGTTTTTGGCAGAAGTACAACGAATTACCGGCATAGGTTAAATCATAGCTGACTGTTGTGTTATTTGCCGCCATGCCGAGGCCTAATTTTGTCTAAAGGAGTGTTTAGCTCCTGAGCGTTTTTGTTTTTGTTTTGTTTGTCTATGTTTTCGAAAAATTTCTCCACCGAAGCAGTTTTTTCCTTGCCACTTCTGTTTCCCTACGATGACTTTGCCTTCCTTTGACTCCAAATTCGACACTTTTTTTCTTTTCGTAGTTCAATAGTTATCTATAAAGGTACATAACAGAATGCGTGAATATAGCTATATTGTCGACAAGCATCAACTTCTATTCTCAAGTTAATGAAACATTAGCTCATCTTCCCCCTTTTTTCTTTTTTTTTTTCCAAGAGATGAAATGTTTGGAATGCCTAAGGCATGGATTAAAGCGGATCTAAGCCAGTAATGGTTTTACATTTGACTTCAACGCCATTAGCATCGTTTGAAAAGGGTGTGAGAAATTAAGGTGCAACTGTGTAATTTCTCTCGATTTTACTTTATAATGTGACTTTTTTAGAACTTTAAATTAAACCTGTATGCACTCACATTTGTTGGGCTGAGCTTCCAATTTATTCATTTCGTATGAAGCAACTCTCCGTATTATTTTCGGCTCAGGGGATTTTAAAATTGGAATTTTCTTGTTAGCAAATAATGATCGAAAGTACTTTACTTACCAGTTTATTTGCAACCCATTTCTTTATGTTTCATTTTACCCTATTTGATGATTTTAGCGCGAAACAATCATGTTGGCCATTTCTTAGATGAAGCAGGAAATTTTATTTAAACGACATAATTTGACTCTGTCGCGATTGAGCTTGTACAAAATGTACATAGTAGTACGATATTCTCTCTAGACAGTCGTTTAAGAGGGCGATTTCTAAAGAATATCACAAGGAAAGCTCAAAGTATTCACTGAAACTTGAGATGAAGAAATTGAAAAGAAGTCGGTTTTTTTGTTTTGTTTTTTTGGTTTGATACTGTACGTTCTACAGCCATTGGTCACATTTTTGTCTGAAATATAATCTGCTTTCCCCTGTTATCTGTCAGGAAAAAGTTTATCAACCACGCAATCATATTTCTACTCGGCTATACTGCTTATAAAATCCTACATGAAGTCTGGGAAAACATTTATGTAAGAGATAACAAACCTGATGGCCGAGGTAAACTGTAAATAAGCTGTTAACGTGTTCTTCATGTCCTTGCTGAAAAGGCCAAGGTTACGGTGGTGCTGAATTGAGTTCTCTAAAATATGAAAAACAAAACACAAGCAGAAAGCCTTTAAGGGAGTTGTTGTTCCGTGGGTGTGAGAAATGAAATTATTGACACCAGTATTTCGTCCTTGGAAAAAAGGTACCAAAACGGATTGAGTACTTGATTGTCCAACGACGTTACGATCAAATTACCATAAGAAAATGAAACAAACTCCAATTAGCGCTAAACAGCTAGATAGGGACACCAGCTGTAAATTTAATACCTATCATATTTTACTCTTATTGTCGTTAGCCTTCCCTTATATTCAGAATTTGCCAATCTTTCTATTATTGACTAAAAGCTTTCTCAAGAAGCCGTCTGTTCACTAAAGAATAGAATGGTGAGAACTGAAGGTCAACTGAACCTTCCGATTTACCGCCTTTCTTAAAATTATAAGCGCCCACTCATTACGTACACCGGCAGCAACATTGAACAAGAAACAACGTCAGTGATAATCCTGCAAAGAACAATTCCATTCTGAGTATACGTACTTTCTTGCACTTATGAAAGTGCGTATCTAAGGATTTTTTTCTCGTGACCGATTCACCGCTATGTAATCGATTACTTAGGTTGTCCAAATTCATGATGAAAAATTTCTTGCCAGGTTTGGAGCCATATGCTTTAAACCTTTTTGTGACTTTGATCACGAATCACTTCATAAGCGAGTTCTCTACTACAAATTGATTAGCAGAAAGCGAAAAAATTCGTTGGGTGTATTCACAGAAACAAAGCAGCGATGGCAGTTAAAATAAAATATGGTAAGCGCATCAACTTGAAATTACGTAGGCAAAGAAACATAAGATTCCCAGCTGTTTCCACACTACACAAAAATTGGAATATTGCAAAAATCTAATATCTTAACGGACACTGGCAATTTGGTCGAGGTAACTTCTCGATGTGTCTTCAATTCTTGCATCGAGTAAATTCCTCATTAACTTCGTGAAAATAGGCACGAAAGACTGTAAAACCGTAAGAATAAAACTCTTCGATCGATTTTTTTTCGAATCTATTGTAAAGTACTCGTTTCAAAGAAAGTTCAAAATTTTTCTTAATGGATTTGTAGTGGCATTTTTACAGTAGATAAAACAATACTCATTTTAGGCTGAGGTGAGTCGTATTTGGAAAAAAACCTCTGGGTTCTGGCATTAATATACTTCACCCCTCCAATATATGTCTCTGTATAGCAAATCGTATCGATGTTTTTTATGAGAGGAAAAAAGAAAGGAAAGGTCTCGGGCCTACTAAATCTGGTGTCCGCTTATTGTAGGAGCAACTTTTACTGTCCCAACTAGTGACTATGCATTTCTTCGTTGGCTGGTGCTTAGAATTTGATTTTACCGTTGAAACTTAGCTGACAGAGAAATATTGTTTAGAAATACTGCTATCTTGATCTCTTTTATGAGTTATTGGGGCTAATGTGGGAAAGCCTTCCTCTAGGGTTATGTGAACTCGTTATATAGAGAATAATACATGGGCGCGCGTAGGTATTGAATTTTTCTTCGAGTGTTAAACTCGAAGTGAGATGTCGAGTTGACCAAGAAAAGATAAATTTCATATCTACGAGCAACTGTGTCATATTTTGTTTATCATATGAGCATAATAACCCTTTACTGACTAGTGTTGTCGACTTAGCTAATGATTGAAAATAAAAGGTTCGAAAATCCCCGAATAACTTGGTTGATAATTTTTGTAAAAAGTCATAGCCAGGTGCGTGCGTCGAGTGGGCGCTTTCCGAAAAACAAAGTTCGGCTTAAACTTCTGATATGATAATGATGATAAGATCAGAAAATTTGAGAGCGTATTATTTAAATCTGAACGGAAGGCCAAAATTCTAAATTGATTAATTCAACCATTAGCTGACACAAACCGCCTACAATGAGGTGATTCACAAATCCATACTTTTACGACGATACAAAGAAAGGTACATTTTAAACATTGATTTTATCAAGGTAACTAAGTGCATGTGCATGCGTTGAGTGTTTGCTTTTCGAAAATTGGTACTAAAGGATACTAATTGGACAATTAAAACATCTGTTGTGCCCTCTTTGCTCGAAGGTTTGTGACGATAAGATCAGCAAATGCGAAAACATGGTACGCGAGGAGAATGCTGATCATAATATCGATTGGGCATGTATCGTTGAAGCGACTGGTTTATTTCGCTGAGGTTAAGTGCTAAAGGAAGCAATTTGATAGTTGAACCATAAGTTTCTTTATCACCGCTCTGGACTGATTAAGTTTAACATGGGAGGAGATAAAAATATAGTATTGTGCTAATTTTCCCGGCTACTATACATCTGAATTGTTAATTGAGGTTCACTGAGTTCATTTCCTTTCGGTTATCTGACAAAAAGGTCTGAACTGTCAAAAAATATATATTAAAACCATCAGCTTACTAAATTAAACCGCGTTCAATAATACGATTGGGAAAATTTTATCTTGTTAGAACGAGATGTCACTTCTATCGGTTCTTACATTGACTGCTACAAATAAAACGAAACCTGCCTAATCGAGGATTCAACGAACTAAATACATAATTGCGTGGTAAATGAATCTGGGAAGACCAAGTTCACAATTATACCAAAAGAAAGATCCTATTAGCACAGATATTTACGTTTATAGCCTTATCTCTGATATTTCAATTAAGTTTTTTTTTTTTTTAATTTTGTTGTGCTAACCTGGTCAGAAGGTCCCTTAACAAGTACCTAATCAATTTGTTCTGTGTGAAGTAGAAAAAGAGACTCAAATGTTATTTTTACGCCCAGTAACACAAAGCATTTATTTCCGAAATGGTTTCCGTGAAAGTTTTGTCAGTCATAATTTTATTCTAGGGACCATTCAAACTTTTCGAATTAAAAGATCTTCCGTTTGAACATTGTTATTAAAAATCAATGAGAAAAAACCCTTCTGACTCAGAGACGCACAGCATTTGCCACCAAGCGCTGACTTGCTAAGAAGGACGTCAAGAACTCATTAAAATCTGCATGACTGAAAGTTAATCAGGTGAGTACTTTTTCTTGTTTGCAGTTTTGACCTTTATACACCGTGAGTTGTTTGGTTAATTTTGAACCGAGTAATAAGGCCTGAAACGTGCATCAAATCTAACGGTTAAAACATAGAAGAATAAGAAAATTGGTGTATTTCCCAAATTGGCACAGAAATGTCCGTAGTTCCGTTAACAAAACATCTGAAAAAATGCTGAAGTTAATAGCCTGAGATTGTTAACATACCTTCAAGAAAGAACAAGGAAATATATCTCTATATTAATAGTAATTATGCTTTCAGTTATGTCCTTTAATTTATATTACAGATACATCACGCCATCGCAAAGAAAAGAAAGACAGGAAGCTTTTAGAAGGCATAGAGACTGTGTCTAAGACTGACAACTACATTAGAGCTGAAGGTTACTTTGAAAACTGCCTTGGAATACGCTTGTCGGCGATAAGAGATCAGCATGGATCCAGAGAATTCATTAGCAACCAGTTATGACTCTACTTCTGCAAGCAGGTCAGTTTTCTTGTGCCAAAAACTTCCAAACATCATCTGGGATTTGACTCATACGACTTTCCCCTGGATTTTAGTGTTCATTACATCTATTGCTTCTCCTATCATCACTTTCCTGAACGCTACTGTAATCGTGGCTTTTAAGAAACGGAGAGAACTAAAAAAACAGTCGAACATTTTGCTATGCAGCATGGCCTTCACTGATCTCCTAACAGGTGCTATAACCATGCCACTATCTGCCACAACCGTTGTTTTAATGCTCAGCCAAGTTTCTTTGGAGCATATTTGTACATTAGATTCCCTGGTGACGAAACCTATAATATTTCTCATGTCTTTATCATCCTTATTTCACTTAACTGCCATTGCTTGGGAGAGATACATGGCCATAAAATGTGGGATGGAGTACAAGAGCAAGGTAACAGAAAGTCTCCTCAAAAAATTTGCGCTAACTGCTTGGGTATTACCTTTTTTCAAACAAGGTCTAACTGTTATAGTGATGGCAATTAGTATCTCAGAAAATTTCCTTGGTATCTGCATTTTAGTTGAGGCTGTCGTGGTCCTTTGTTGTTCAATCGCCATTGCATATTTTTACTTCAAGGTCTTACTTGGAGTGCGGAGGCAAAAGAAGAACAAAACTAGCCAGGTATCTGTTTTGTTGAATGTGAAACTCCAATCTAAAATTGCCACTACAACTGGTTTGGTAACCGCTGCACTTCTTTTTTCGTTTGTTTTTTCAGTTGTTATTGTTATTCTAGGTAGTTTTTCACCAATATTTCGTATGAATTCCACTTTTCAATTGGCAGAGCTAGTTTTACAGCTGAACTCCCTTTTAAATCCAATATTATACTGCTATAGCGACCACCGTTTTAAAAACGCTGTCCAAGAGCTGTTAGGTCTCAAAAAAACACAAAAAATCCAACCAACCTTTCATGCCAATCGATGTTTAAGACGAAAAGAGTCCTTTCAATCAGTAGAGATGAAACTGCAAGGAGAGGAAATTTTCATCGTGCAATCTACAAAATCCGCTCCCTTTGAGCCTGCCGTTGAACATGAAGGGGCCTCTAGCATAAATATGGAAAGGTCCATCTCTGGATACTGCAGTGATTCATTTGCTCAATGTAATGTCCAGATTCCGGAGCCCTTGTCCGTCCATACGACAACCGCTGTGATCCATAGTCAAAGTTCTAGGCAATGTAGATATAGAATTTCCAAAGAAAAGGTTCACCCTGTATCACCAACTGCAAACGACGCAGTTTCTTCGCAAGGATCAGCAAATCGAACCCTTACAACAAGATCGAATACCTGCGGGGCTGAACCATCTGAATTTATTGAAAATATTGCTTAGAAATGTGAATTAGAAAGCAGAGGACCGAGGGTGAAACAAAGTCAATAACTCAAAGGAAAATAAAGCCCTGAATTCATTATGAACAAGTTTTGAAAGGAATTGGAAACTACACTATCAAATTCCTGCTTTGCAAAAAAAAAAAAAGAGCACAGTACTTTTGCGCTTTGTTTTCAGCTAGAGGAAACCTTCTCTGGAGGAGGGTAAATCATCAAGAAATTATCTTTTCAGTTAAAATTTGTCCACATAAGTAGGAAAGAAGTGTTTGTCGTTACACAATAAGCAACTTAAAAAGGCATCAGGTTTTTATGAAAGAAGAGTTTTGTGTATATCGCCGTTATGTTGGATTCTTTGACGCTCTAAAGTTGCTTCAAGAGAACATAAACTCTTAAGCATGACGTTTAGCAAACGGGAAACGGCAAATATGACCACATCATCAGTTTTTCCAGGAATTTTTGACATATTCCGTTTCTTTTCTGCCGTTTTTGGCAGCAAGGAACGGAGAAAGTTTTGCGTTAATAAAAAACGTCATTAAAAAGTATATTCTCTAATGCCGTTGTAAAGGGTTGGCAGTCGTGTGCTTCATAGCGAAACTTATTTACTGCCTTTAGGTAAAACAATTGTCTTGTTTTACTTTACCAGGAGATTATCGGGAAAAAACTTTTTTTTCAATTATTTAATTCATTTAATTTAATTCATTTAATGAAAAAAGCTTAAGCGTCGTGAGCTTAACACTGTTCATCGTTTTCCAAGGAATTGGAAATTTCCACAAATCAAAATGTTAAAGTGGGAAGATTTAAAGGGGTTGAAAAGAATATTTTGAGACCATTATCACATCCTCCTAAAGTAGAAGGATAGTCTATTTCTTGGGAAACGTCTTGTTATTACAACATATTTTTTACGTTTCCGGTGACCGCCGGAAGAAACACAAAAATGTGCATGTTGAATTAGGTAAAAAAGCCTCACTAAAGTCGCATTTTCAGACTTTTAAAGTTCATTCCGTAAGATTAGTCGGGGGAACCTTTAAATATTTTCTTAAATACATTCATCCAAGGGAGTGTTGCTGCAAAATTTAAAATAGAAAAAATAAATTCGATTTTTGGGAGTGTCCATCGAGAATCGATGGACTCTTTATTCTCACCCAATGAGTGAACTGAAGACGTCAAACGTGAAGCGTCAAGTAGCCACCTTCCTGTTTGTTACTTAAACTCTCTATTGTCTACATAATCCCCTAAATAATGCAAGGAATAAAAGAGCTGATAAAAAGTTTGATGATAAAAGTAGTAACAATATGATGTCAACCGCTCGAAAGTAGCGTC